ATTCATCTGGTCTTATTTGTTGAAAATATCTTCCCAGTTCTCCTTTAGCATTAAAATATTTTGAGGTATTTTTTCATGTAGAAATTATTTGATTTTTAATTTTATGTGTCGAGTTTCTGTTCTCGCCATTAAAAGGCTCAGGTGTCACTCCAGGAAAACTGGGTTGACTGGACTGCACAAAATAACCACACAAGACACACAAATACCTTTTTCTTTGGGGTTGCTGTGACGGCTCCTCGGACCTTAAGGGTCTGCAGGAAGAGAAAGAGAGAAAGCTTGCGCACACGCGTACACACACACAAAGGCATGTGCGCTAACCCCTTTTATTGAGGAGAAGCTATTCAAATGAGGTAAGGGGTCAGGTTTCAGGGGGCTGAGTCCAGCTTCATGATGTCCACTGTCAGCAGGTTGACTGACATTCTAGGTAGGCCACACCCAAGGACACAGTAAGGGAAGGGGACACACACAGGGCACTTCCATGGAAGATTCTGTCCTAAACAGGGAAAGGGGTTATATTACAAAGAAACAGGTGAGCATAGCCCTACCCATGGGGCTGTAGGAAGACACGCAGAGCAGGAAGATAGTCACTGGAACCCTAGAAGAGCAGGGCAGTCTAGCAGCATGGGTGCCAGATGCCACATCGCCCAGCAGGGGAGTTAACTCAGTAGCATGTGAGATTGGTCTCCACATTTATGTAATCAAATTAATCAATTTGTGGCTTCTGGATTGGAGTAACATTTAGAAAGAAATTTTTTTTAAGTCAATCAGGTTGGGCTGGGATGGTAGTCAGGGGTAGAGCACTTGCCTAGCATGTGGGAGAGCACTTGCCTTAGCACCATATAAAAATAAATAAATAAATTAAATAAAGGTATGGTGTCCATCTACAACTAAAAAAAAAAATTAAAAAAAAAATCAAGGGGAGCTGGGAACGTGGCTCAAGCGGTGGCGCGCTCGCCTGGCATGCGTGCGGCCCGGGTTCGATCCTCAGCACCACATGCCAACAGAGATGTTGTGTCCGCCGAGAACTAAACAATAAAAAAAAACATTAAAAATTCTGTCTCTCTCTTTCTCTCTCTCTCTCTCTCTCTCCCCTCTCTCACTCTCTCTTTAAAAAAAAAAAAATCAAGGGCTGGGGATGTGGCTCAAGCAGTAGTGCGCTCGCCTGGCATGCATGCCACCCAGAGTTCCATCCTCAGCACCACATACAAACAAAGAGATTGTGTCTGCCGAAAACTAAAAAATAAATATTAAAAAAAAAAATCAATCAGAAAGCAGGCTCAGTGGCGCACATCTGTAATCCCAGCGGCTCAGGCTGAGGCAAGAGGATTGCGAGTTCAAAAGCCAGCCTCAGCAAAAGCAAGGTACTATGCAACTCAATGAGACCCCATCTCTAAATAAAATACTATATATATACACACACACACACACACACACACACATATATACCATTATTATATATATTACATATATATGTATTACATATATATGTATTACATATATATGGTAGATGGACACAATACCTTTATTTTGTTTATTTTTATGTGGTGCCTGGATGGAACCCAGTGAGTGCCTCATGCATGCTTGGCCAGGGCTCTACCACTGAGCCATGACCCCAGCCAGCTGGGTTGATTTTTTTTTAAGATATTTTATTTTATTTTTAGTTGTAGTAGGACACAATACCTTTATTTTATTTATTTATTTTTATGTTGTGCTGAGGATCGAACCCAGGCCTTGCACATGCTAGGCAAGTGCTCTACCACTGAGCCCCAGCCCCAGCCCACTGGGTTAATTTTTTAAATTGAAACTTTTTTTTTTAAGTTTTTTGAATTGATCTAAAATATATTTTGGTGTAACAAGTGAGATGTGATTTTTTTTTTTTTTTTTTTGCCTATCAAATAGCTTGTTAATAATTCCAAGATCACTTACTGAATGTACAGCACCAATGTGCAATTTTTTTCTTTCTCTTATACTAAACTCTTATTGACATTGTGGTCTATGTCTCAATTTCTTATTGTGTTCCATCAATCTGTTGACTATTTTTTACATTATGTGTTGTACCTTGCCACAGTCCAGCTGCAGCAAAATAACCAGGGGGTGACGAACAACTTGTGTACATTGATACAGCAGGAGTGGGAGCTGTTTATTGTAGGACAGGAGGGGTATATCTACATTCCACACAGCTTATCTTAATTAACATAAACTAGATACAGCAGTCAACCAATAAGGAATCTCCACACTTAATGGCTCACTGGTGCCACCTCACAAACCACTCCCCCTGGCAAAATACCAGGCACCATCCTGACTTGTTTACAGACTCTAACAGTACCTTGTGTTTTTCCTATTTTTTCCAGACTAACTCTGAAAAGTATCTCTTGGCTAAGGGTAGATAAGAGGAGATAAGAGGAAGTAGAAATATTTTCTGTCTCATGGAGTCCTATTCAGTTTGCTGCTTGGAAGACAGATCCAAAAGAGGGTGTCAACAGTGTCAAATGCCTGTGAGGTGTCAAAATGGAGATTGTCAAACATTCCCTGGATTTAGCCAATATAACAGAAATCACTAGTTCCCTTAGGCAATGTAGATTGAGGAAAGTTAGCAAATAGAAAATTACTTTAAAACATTTTATTAACCCATATATATTATTTATAGGGCCTGTAGATCAAAGAGTTTAGTCAATGTTCTGTAGACAAAAGGGAAATTTTGAAGATTTCTGAATAAGAAGTGAAAGAATGAAAAAAGCACTATAGTTTTTAAGGATGATTATCTCCTTGGAGGTGATACACAAATGGATTGGAGAAAAAGACTACAAAGAGACAAGTACCTGAAAGGGTTGCATTCATCTGGCTACAAATTCCTTTCAAAAACATTTGCAAACTGATACATTGTTTCAATGACATAGGTCAGGGTATAGTAACAAAAATTAAAATGAACACGCAAGTTGAGCAATAGAGCAAATCATAACTGAATTAAATCTATAGGGTGAAAGGAAGATAGTAATCATTTAAGAAAGGGGACTAATACTGATTACAGAATATAAATCTTCCCTTTCCTTTATTCCCACACCATCCCACTAATCTATTTTGTTCTTCAATTCTTTACTTCTAGATCATCTGCCTCCAGAAGTTATGAGGGGCTAAGATAATGAAGCCAGAATTAGACAGGCAGTCAGTGTAGATAGGTAAATCGAGTCAGGTTGGATCAAGGAGGCCAATTTTGAAAGGACATTGGAGACTGTCCCCTGAGGGATTAAAATGTTAATTCCTTCAGAGCCCTTCCTCTACCCTAATCAAGAACCTGCCCCAGCTCCAACCAGTTGCCAAGGTAACCTGTCCCAGGAATTTCCCCTCTACAAGGAGCTATAATGTTGTTCATGTGTACTTGGCTACTCCATCCTGCCCTTCCCTGGCCCTCCTACCTAGCATTCCTGAGCCTAGTCACCTATGCGGGAAGGAGAAAGATAAGTGGGGAAAGGCAGGAAAACAAAGGAAACCTAGGACATATAAAAAGGGCAGAACACCTCACTTATTAGGATACCAGGATACCAGCTAAGGGGCCCCTTCTTCCTTCTGGACAGAAGTCTATGTTACCCCTTCATTTGCTTGCCTCAGTGTGCTTCTTTAATGCTCAAACTTCAACATGTGGGGAAGCAGGACTACACAATCAATCCTAAAAAACAAAGTCAATCTCCAGGCTTGTGTTCCTAAAATAAGGATATGATAGGCAGCCTTATCTACCATCATATCTTTTGTATTTATACACTGTTTTGACATTTTATTACTTCTTTTCAGAGTAAATCAGAGTAGAAATACATTTAATTTCTCCAAATTTCAATTGTGACCCAATTTCAAACCAGGATAAAACTTTGATGTGGCCTGGCATTTTACTGAAATGCTCTAAGGTGATTTACACTTGAGGTTTCAACACTGGGTACTCAAGAGTAAGATTCAGAGGGAAAGGTAGGCTTGGGGTTGGCTAGTCCATTCAATGCCTGGATTTCTTGCCCCATAGGTAAAAGAACCAGAGTGGAATCCCCTTAAGTGATGTTTGGGAAGGAGAAGTTCCTCTTGCTCAGATAAAAGAACAATACTAAGAAAATCCCCAAGGAAAGTAGGAAATACCAACTAAGGGATGAGGGGGGGCAATGTAAGAGTAGGACATCTACTGGGTAAGAGAATGGATTTTCGCAACTATAATCACAGGACATTCAATGTTTCTCTACAGAAAGAAATGAGCATTTTTTTAGGTTCTATTCAATACAACAACTCAATGCACTGGATATTTTATTATAATTTCAATGAAAGTAATGGATCAACATCCTCTTAGTTCAAAATAAAACAAAGTCTACTTCCTTGTGAGGATATAGTTATCATTCCCATTCCAGAGGAGAAGAAACCGAGACTTAGATCGGAAAACCAATCTGACTGAAAAGTAGAAGAAATGCACTGGTCTGTTTCTGACCTATAGAAATATTACTGTGTGACAATTAAACATTTCTTTTTCTAAGAATCCTGAGTGCTTGTAGTTGGGTGTGTTACTAAAGTGTCTCACTTACACAGGTGGGGCTTATCTGCTATTCCTATCCTCTGGGCCTCATGGGAAGCCCGAAGTCTGAGCTTCCCATTACCTACACAAAGCCATCTTTCTTTTACAGGGGCTGAGGCCTGGGCACCAAAAGGAAACCCAACAAAAGACTAGTGGTCCAAGCAGTGCGGCCGCAGAAGCTTGGATGTAGGCCCGGACCAGGCTGGCAGGGGATATTCTGTCACCGCTGCGCACAGCAGACACCACCTGCTCGTGTGACCGATCTTGGAGGTTCCAGTTCTGGCGCGTTCCACTCAAGGGCAGGTGGCTGGGCCTCTCGGTCGTCTGCAGAAGGAAACAGCCAAGCCCCGAGGCCACGGAATCTGGCGGGGAGCTGGAGGCGCGGGCTAAGCCCCGCCTGCTGGGCCGCCTCTTCCGCTCGCGCCGGGGTGGGGCAGACGCGGCCGCCTGGATCCGTTCGGACGCGGCCACGTTGTCTTACGCGCCCAGCGCACCTGGCCCTGAGAACCTGGACACCGGCTCCCGCTTCCTGCCCCCCCCCCCGCGCCTCCCAGCTTATAAAGCTTTGTGGGACGGTAGTATTCCTACGCTCACTCTGCGGAGCACAACCGCTCAAGGGAAGGCCTGGCCATCCCGAGACTCCAGCGCGCGGGCACGTCTGGAATCTGGGCTCTAGAGGCGCCGCCCTCGGTCCGTTTAGCTAGCCTCTCCTCGCCGCCTAGGAGCAAAGAACCAGAGAGAGCACAGGAGAGTGGGGCTCCGCGCAGAGCTCGGCGCCCGGGCCCATGCCCGTGCGCCCCCGCGGGCCCCCGCTATGGCCTCCGGGAGCGTGGCCGAGTGCCTACAGCAAGAGACCACTTGCCCGGTGTGTCTGCAATACTTCGTCGAGCCCATGATGCTCGATTGTGGCCACAACATCTGTTGCGCGTGCCTAGCCCGCTGCTGGGGCGCAGCGGAGACTAACGTGTCTTGTCCGCAGTGCCGAGAGACCTTCCCGCAGCGGCACATGCGGCCCAACCGGCATCTAGCCAACGTGACCCAGTTGGTGAAGCAGCTGCGCACCGAGCGACCGTCAGGGCCCGGCGGCGAGATGGGCGTGTGTGAAAAGCATCGCGAGCCCCTGAAGCTGTACTGCGAGGAGGACCAGATGCCCATTTGCGTAGTGTGCGACCGCTCCCGGGAGCATCGCGGCCACAGCGTGCTACCGCTCGAGGAGGCGGTGGAGGGCTTCAAGGTGAGGGTCCGGCGCGAAGAGTGGGGAGGGGTAGGAGCGCGAATCGGACAAAGGGAGGGGAGAGTCAAAGGGGCTTCCCTTTTTTCCGCCCAGAAAATGGCTGAGCCGGACGTGTGGTTCACAGCCGTCATTTCCTCTCTGTCCGCTATAGAGCCTCTGCACTCAGATTTGGGAAGAAAACCTGTAGCTGGCGAGGAAAACATAAGTCTCCCCACCCCCACACTCCCTTCCTTGTAAGCTTGTCTCACCCACACATTGTGCATAAAGATGGCCTGTGAAGGCCTTCTCTTGACAGTATAAAAGATGTGCGTAAAAACACGTACACATCGACAAGCTTATGGGACACTCGTATTCCCACCGGCTCCACGATAATATCAGACAAAACACATTTGGACGTTGACTGTGTACATGAAGCAGTGCCCATTCCGTGGTGTACGCGTATTTCTCCAGCACTTCACTTTAACCCTTCTGTTCTAGAAGCTCATGGAAAAGAACAGAGTTTTTTACTGCTTGAGTAAATCATTTAGCCACTCGGACTCAGGAGATAACATTTATTGTGAAGATTAAGTGAAATGTGACTTAAACCCTTTGTGAACTGTTGAACACACATTGGACAGCTAAACTAACATGGAAATAAAGTATAACGTGAAATAGTTCTAGGTGACATTTAATGAATACATGATGTTTTGTGTTTTTTGTACTTTGAGGACTGCAGGGATATATACACAATTATGTCCCTGTTTAAATGTGAGTGCATCCATGTATAATCTTGTAACATTTGTGGAACTTCCAGTTATATCATTTCACTCACTCATGGTAATTCCTTGTATGTTGGGAAGGTGTTGTTTACCTATGTCACCCATTAAGAAAATAAGAGAAGTCATTTTCTCTGTGCCTGTGTGGAAAAGCTATAATTGAACTTTAAGCTCCTTCCCAGTCTAGTTACCTTTCCACAAAGCCATGCAGCATCCTTCCAGGGACTGGTGGGTAACTCAGTGTTTAAGAAACACAAATTGCCAAAAGATAGTTTTGGTGGCCACCTGAGCTTTAGGCTTTTCTCTGGTGCATGGCAGTATAGTCTGAGGACAGGCTTTAAGCAGGGACTTGGCATCCAAGACTGTGGGTTCCATTTGTGATAAGAAAAGTAGCCAGGCTTATACTAAGGTCTGCCAACTCTTTTGCTTTCTTTAGGAACAAATCCAAAACCAACTGGACCATCTAAAAAGAGTAAAAGACTTAAAGAAGAGACGCCGGGCACAGGGGGAGCAGGCACGAGCTGAACTCTTGGTAAGGGTTGTTGGAATTCTTAGATATTACTTCTGCCAAGAGATGTTACTCTTTCTTGACAATGCCTAGTTCTGAATTTTTCACTCTGCTTTCTTGCTCCAGTCTCTGAAGGTCTTGAAAAGTGGCTAATGTGCTAATTCTGATAGAAGAATTTGGGAGTTTTGTTTTAAAAAATCAAAAAAATATAGAGACTTTTATAACATACACTTGTATATCCACTGTCCAACTGTTTAAATTTCTTTTTTTAAACATTTTTTTCGTTGTCTATAGATCTTTTTTTTTTTCTTCTTGTTTTGTATCTTGGGATTTTTTAAAAACCTTTATATTATTTATTTATATGTGGTGCTGAGACTCGAACCCAGTGCCTCACACGTTAGGCAAGTGCTCTACCACTGAGCTACAACCTCAGCCATTTAAATTTACTTTTGAACAATAAATGAAATAAGTCTGTACTCTTTGAAGGTATCTACATCTAAAAAACAAACTTCTAGACTAGTAGTGTCTAAGCTAATCTTATGTGAAATTTTTTTAGTCCTGATCTGGATATGGTAAAGAACTTCTGGCTAGGGAACTCATTCCTTTGGTGTCCTTAGATCCCACCACGTGCACTTCCCACAATCCACTGAGACTTCAGCTCCCCTTGGATGAAATATCTCAGTGAAACCGAGTAGACTGAAATGATTATAATGTCTTCTTTGGGAAGATTGTCAAAAGTGAGAGACAACCTTTCTCTGAGAATCAGGGTGCCTGAACATATTTAGTGTCTCTGACACTAGCCAATTTTTTTAGATGGATAGAGTGCAACCACCTCTTTTGGCCTTAGTTTCCTCATCAATGAAATGGGTCAGTTGTACTAGACTTGTGATTTTCCAGCAAAGCTAGTACTGCCCTTTCCCTACAATGGTGTGTGTGGGTATTTCTTTGTGACTGAGGATTAGAGTAATTGGAAAGGGTAAGGCAGGGATGGTAAATGTCTTAACAACGCAAGAAACAGTCCCATGCTAGGCAGAATTATTCCTTCTAATGACACCTCCTTTGAGAAATACTGAATTATATGATCTTTAAGGTTTCTTTCAGCTTTGATTTACTGTTTTTAAGATTTATTGTATGGTTTATGTCTTTGAAAGATTTATTCAGCTGAAAAGAGTTATAAGCTTATGAAAAGGATTTATAAACCCAGGTATGTACATATTACTAAGTTGCATAGTGAGTATATGCTTAAGAAGAGTGATTAGAGGAATGGTTATTGGAGGAATGTTCTTGGGGAACAGGTGAATTTAGAACAGGTATTTGTAGACTTTACATAAAGAACCAAATAGTAAATATTTTTAGTTACTTGGATTATGTCACAATTATCACCTCTGCCATTTTATCTCAAAAGCAGCCATATCAGATACATAAGTGATTGGCTGTGGCTGGATTCTAATAAAACATTACTTGATTCCTTTAAAGCCATTTGCTAACCCCTGACTTAGAACAAAATGATAATAGTGTCCTGACAGTGGGACATGGGAGTAGAGAAGGAAGGATAGATAAGCTGTGACAAACAAGTTAGCCATAGGAGGGAACCAGGGAAAACCTCAGTATACTTCCCCAAGCCCTGTGAGACAGGGCAGTTTGTGAACACCCCTGAAAACCAAATATAGAAGACATGGATTATGAAGGGTCCAAGGAAATTGTGATTGTTTCAAACTGTACCACACAGGACACATGTCTGATTGTGTCATTTCTCTGTGTGACAATCTTTTATGGCTTTCAGTTGCAACAAATTCCTTACTCCTTAGCCTGGTATGTTCTCATCTCCTCTTAACTTTTCTGCTTTCATTCCTCAGAACTTATGTATTCCAGACAGACAGAACCATTGGCCTTGTCTCCCTACTTCTTTGCCTGTGCTACTTCTTCTGCCTAGAAAACTTTCCTCTTACTCATTTGGTGAATTCCTTTGTGAACACTGATTCTGTGAAGACTGTGTTACCTCCTTCCACGGCAGCCTGTTACTCTGTTTTTACCCATCTATGACTCTGTGTAGCACATGAGAGCAGGAACTGTGTTTTAATAATCACTAGGATAACTCAGTTCCTTGCCATTATGGTAAAGACCATAAATAACGAGTAAGTGAACACAGTGAAATAATGAATAAGTTTTAGTATCTTTGGATAAACTGACTTGGGGTGAGTCACCAGGGGAGAATTGTGAAAAGAGCTCTAGAAATGAGCCTTTTCTCTTCACTGCCCTTGTCTATCATCTGCACAGAGCCTAACCCAGATGGAAAGGGAAAAGATTGTTTGGGAGTTTGAGCAACTGTATCACTCCTTGAAGGAGCATGAGTATCGCCTTCTGGCCCGCCTTGAGGAACTAGACTTGGCCATCTATAACAGTATCAATGGTGCCATCACCCAGTTCTCTTGCAACATCTCCCACCTCAGCAGCCTGATTGCCCAGCTAGAAGAGAAGCAGCAGCAGCCCACCAGGGAGCTCCTGCAGGTAAGACATGAAGAATCCTGCTACGACACCTCCAATAAAAATAGCCTCTTTTTTCCTTTGCCAAGTAGTATCCAGGACCTCCTGTTTCCTGGTTAACTGTGCAGGAGTTGCACAGGTGCCAAACTCTGTACTGAGTATGTTGGAAAAGAAACATACACCAGAAGCTGTGGTTGACACAACTTGGATTATCAGTTACATTGTTTCAGAAAAGGCAAAGGGAAGACCTGGTGCCCTGGCCTGCCCTGATAAATGTTCTGATCATGGGCAAAGTTCTTCATATCTTTGGGTCTTAGTGACTTCAATAAGAGAGGCTTGGATCACATGCCATTTGGAGAGCGCCTCATTCCATTATCCTATAATTTTAACGTATACATGTATATTACCATAGCTACAAAATAGTAAGCACTTGAGCAGGAGTTGGGTAGTCCTGTGATTTTACTGTGTTAATGTAGTGAGAGAGCTGCAGTAGATCTAGCCAGGTGTAAGACTGCAGGCAATGAGCTATTGCCCATGTGTTCGCTCATTCAGTGCATACTAATTGTCTGCTGTGGATCAGGCACTGCTCTAAGCACCACTGGGATTAAGTGGTGAGTAAGCTTCCCTGAGTTATATTCCAGTGTGGAAGCTAGTTAAGTGAATAATTATTACAGTTGTTGACAAAGGCCATAAAAAGGGATGATGAGATAGACCAAGTATCAGCAAATACTTAAGATAATTGGAAAAAGAATATACTTTGCAATAGGTAAAATTATATGAAATCAAGATTCAGTGACCATACATTTTTAATTGGCACACAGCCATGATTATTCAGGTATGTATCCTCTATCATTGCTTTTTCATTATAACAGCAGTGTTGAGTAGTGGTGACAGACTGAATGGCTCACAGAGACTGAAAGACTTACAAAGCCTAAAATATTTACTATGGGCCTTTAAGAAAAAATTTATTGACTCTCACTTTAAAATAATAAGAAAAAAAGAAAAGCTTAATTCTTAACATACATTGCTATTTAATTGTCAGGCAGAGCTTGCAAAGAGGACAGTTGACCAGAGAGGCAGAATGTAATCAGGAAGAAAGACTGTTTTGGGAAGGAGGGAATGGACAACAGGGTCCGATGCATTTGATGTCCGATAATATCAGAGCTGATATCCATTTGGTTTAAAATATGACTGCCATTGATGACCTTATGTAGAAATGCCACAGTAGAACAATTTTGGGCCAGAGTTAAATGGTGAATGGAGACTATGAGAGAGTAGGTGACTATTTAAAAAATGACAATGAAAGAAAAACTTAGAGATGAAGTAGATTTGTGGGGCTTTATCTGGAGGAGATGCTTAAAGAAACCAGTTAAACTTATTTTCAAAGTCTGTGTGGGGAGGAAGTCTGTTATAAGGATCCAGATGTGAGGGAAGATACCGAAGCTATGATGGGTTTCAGGATAGCGTGCTGTCCCTGAGAAAGCAGGGGGAATGGGAATTAAAGCATATGTTCAGAAGTTAGTTTCAGAAGGTCCTCTCTTGCGTGGGAAGAAATTATTATTTCAAAATATGGGAAAGCCAGTTGGTCCATGAGACATAGGATAATTTATAATAGAATGATTTAAATGATATGATTTAAACCAGTCATTTGTAGTAGAACCATTCTGCCCTGTTGTGATTTTCTTTTGTGCTTTTGTGTCAGATCTGGTGCAAACACTGAGAAAGAAGTTAGGCCTAAGATAATTGGAGTTTTTTGTTTGTTTTTTTCTTTTAAGAAATGTTTGTAAAATATACAGAATATAAATTTCACTCTTTGTGTAACTCTGTGGCACAAAATAGCATTCAGTAAATTTACAATGTTGTGCAATTGTCAATAACTATCTAGATCCAGAACATTTTCATCACTCCAAAAAGAAACCACATATAATTAAGCAGTCATTCCTTTTCCCTTCTGCCTCCTACCCCTTGCTCCATGCATTTATCTATTCTGGATATTTTATATAAGTAAAATCACATAATAGCCTTTAGCTTCTTTCACTTGGCATAATTTATTCAAGTTTATATCTATATTGTAGTACATATTCAATATTTTATTTCTTTCTATAGCTGAATGATATTCCATTGCATGGATATATACTATATTTTGTTTACTCATCATTTAATGAACATTTGGGATGTATCCACATTGTAGACTAGTGAATATTGTGAATAATGGTTCTGGGAACATTAAATGTATATAAAGTAATTCATAAATTGTGTCATCCTTGTGCAGGGACCATGCTAATCTTTGCTATGTTATTTCAGTTTTTCTACATCTGCTGTTGAAGCAGACACCATACTCAAAATTTTAAAACTTTTTTTTTAAAGCAGAAGGTTTTTATGAGAATATTTTTGAATATACAGATAATGAAACCAAAGCTGGGTGATAAGGAAAGTGGAAAAAGAAAGAGGGATCATCATGGACCTAATGATTGATGATGACAATCAAGTGTGTTTATGATGGAATTCTGTGGAAAACAAGCTGAAGTTATAAGAATAGGAAAAGAAGTTAACATACAGAAATCAGCAGCCTCCATATGCGTATATAACAACCACTAGAAAATATATTATGTATTGGAAGAGGACACCATTTCCCATAGCAAGAAGAGAAAGAAAATAGATAAAGTACTTGGAAATACACTGAGAAAATCTATATAAAAACCTATGTGGAAGGGAACACCTCTCAAAAACACAAAATAGAAGTGAAGAAATAAAAAGATATTCTTCATAAGACATCTCAGCATCAAGTTGTCAGTTCTAAAGTTTTTTATGTTTAATGTAATTTCAATAAAAAGACCAAGAAGCTTTTTCTCTGAATTTAGAAAGATTCTGGGATACACTGAGCAGACCAGCGGGTACTAGCCCTATTAGATATTAAAGTATAATACAAAGGTCTGTAAAATTAAAGTAGTTGGTATTAGCATAAGAGAAAAAAAGTCACAGGCATTGTAACCAGTCAGAAGTCAGTGTCAGATTCAAAGAAAATGTCTGCAACGAATAGTACCAAAGCTCCAATATATAAAGAACTTACTAAAATTGAGGTGGGGGTGGGAATCAAAATTTTCTAGGAAAATGGACAGAAGTTGGCCCATGAACATATAGGAAAAAATACTCAACTGCATTTGTAATAAGAAAATGCACATTGGGGCTGGGGCTGTAGCTCAGTTGGTAGAGTACTTGTCTTGCAAGCACAAGGCCCTGGGTTCAATCCCCAGCACACACACAAAAAAAAAAAAAAGAAAGAAAAGAAAATGCACATTAAAATGCTAAGATACCCCTTACCAGTTAGCATAGAGATATATATAGATTTTTTTTTGGAGACAGGGTCTTCCTAAATTGCTTAGAGCCTTGGTAAGTTGCTGAGACTGGCCTTGGCCTTGGCCTTGAACTTGCAGTCTTCCTACCTCAGCCTCCCAAGCTGCTGGAATTACAAGACGTGCGCTACCACACCTGGCAACAATATAGTTTTAGCATAATATGCCATTGGCAAATATGTGGGAGAGATATATTATTGGTGGAAATGCAAAATCATGAAACCATTTCAGAGGAAAATTTGGCAATATTTAACAAACCACACACACACACACACACACACACACACACACACACACACACACACAGGCAGTTAAACTTTATGTAAAAATCTGTGCTAGAAATTTACCTTGAAGATATACCTAAGTATGAAAATATATTTGAAAATACACAGCAAGAATACTTGCTGCAGCAATGTGTGTAAATGCAAAATATTGGATATAGTCTGTCTTCTAAATTTAGAGGATTTTTTAGTCAATTATGAATATATACACAGCAAAATGCTATGCAACTGTAAAAAAGCATAAGAATGATACTTATGAACTAAAAAGCCAGGACATGTTGGTAAGTGGAAAAAATAAAAATGTAAAACATAGATTATGTTGCTTTTTGTGTAAGAAAGGAAGAGGGATTGGAAAGTACATGTGAATGCTATTTTTGCAGAGGAATCTGAAAGGATAACTAGACACTAATAGAGATGGAGAGATGAGATGGGAGGGGACAGAGAAGGGAGTAAAAAGGACTTTCTTGCCAAGTCTCAGAGACTTTTTGAGCACCAAAATAAATAAGAACAGTAATATATTATAGCACATTGAATAAAATAATCTGTGAGTCCACACTAATAATAAATAGGAAGGGCAATTTTTTTTCTAATAGAATGTCAATTAAACATAGAAGGAATTTTGAAGTTAAAAAATGACCTTTTGGCAACCATCATAGTAAAAATTAATAAGACTTGTCAGTGAATGCTAACTCTAAGGGGAAAAGTTTGATGAGAATGAAAAGTATTTTATAGATACTTATTAATTGCAAGAGGAAAAAACAGTAACTGTACAATGATCAAAATCAGTTTTGCCACTGGGCATGCTGGTGCTTGCCTGTAGTCCCAGTGACTTAGGAGGCTGAAACAGGAGAATCACAATTTCAAGGCCAGCCTCAGCAACTTAGTGAGACACTGTCTCAAAATAAAAAGTGTCCCTGGGTTCAATTGCTAGTACTGGGAGAAAAAAAAAAAAATCAGTATTGCCAGTGAGAGACAAGCAAATATCTACTCTCGAAGGATATAACATACCCTAGTTAAAGATGGTATAACTGGAATTAATCATGAGGGAAATGTCTTAAACTGAAATGGAGGGACATTCTATAAAATAACTAGTTTACATCAAATAATGGTAATGTGAAAGGTAAGTCAATTGTGAGAATCTTTTCCAGTTAAATACACATCAGTTGTAATTAAGTGCAATGAATGATCCTGGATTACGTGGAATGTGGGTAGGGGTGTTGGAGCTATAAAGAACATTATTGCAATAATTGATTAAATTAGCCTACGGCTGTGGATAGAATAAATGTATCAACGTTCAATTTCCTGAATTTTATAACAGTGCTATAGTTATTTTAAAAAGTAGTTGTTCTTAGGAACTACACATGAAAGAATAAAGGGATAGAATGTAAACAGTTACCTCAAGTGGTTCTGAAGATGTATATGTCATAAATATATGTGAGAAGAGAAAGGTTAAATAATTATGTGAATAGTTAAAGGTTGGCAAACCTGGTAAAAGACTGTAGAAGAGTACTTTGCACTGCCAACTATTCTGTGTATTTGAAACTAATTCACAATAAAAAGAAAGCAAGGCAGATGGGTGTAAGTTATTGACATCCAAGAGTAGAATGACAGAGTTAATAAATCTCAGTTTCTTCTGCCTGATTTTTAGATCCTTTAAACTGAGTTATGTTCCAATGATTCTTTTCTCTGGCTTTTCCCAGGAAGACTAGCCCATAGTTGGGTTTTTAATGAACATTCGTGAAAGAAAACTCAAATTATAAATAGCTTCTCATAGTATCCTTTTCCTTTCTCTTATAGGACATCGGGGATACATTAAGCAGGTATAGTTTTCTCTCCTCCTAGTGCTAAACCAAGCACAAGAAGACTGTCTCACTCACATTTGTAAATCCTGAAAGGAGCCCAGGGCCCCAGATGGACATCTTCCTGAATTGCTACCTATCTTTGAAGAGTCACCGGTGTGCTAAGAACTAGATTAACCACAACTGTTCTCTGTAAAACTTTGGAATTATTGGCAAATTGTGGAGGTGGGGTAAGATAGAGATTCACATTTGAGAGTGATGGTGTTTGTGGGTGTGAGGACACTTCCATGGAGAGGTTGGGAACTTACAGGAGTTGGACATTACAAGGACACATTATGGCTGTTACTTAATATGAATTTTAGAATTTATTTATCATTCTCTTTCTCTCTTGCTATAATGGGGGAAATTGGGCCTAAAGAAAGTATAATGAGCCTAGAGGTATAAAATTACTGATGAACCACTTGAATTCTGACTTTTCTCATTATTTCTCTATAATACTACCAAATGGAAGATGAGGAGGCCTGGGGATGTAGCTCAGTGGTATAATACCTGGTTGGCATGCACAAATCCCCAGCACCAAGAGGAATATGAGGAAGAGCTTCCTGGGGACATGACCAAAAAGGAAGGGAGAACTTGAAGAGGGCAAGAAACCAGGGCAGAGTTTTATTTGTAGGATTGATGGTAGGAGCGAATCTAATAGGCCTCAGGAAGCTAACATTTACAAAACTTTGAAGTTGATTTAAAAATCCTAAATTTTTGGTGAAAAATCTTCCAGTGGAAATTATATGGAAAGCTACTATTGAGGAGATTGAGAAGGGTTCCATATAAGGGGTAGGTTGGCTAGGAGGACTATGGTTATAGAAACATGTTGATAGGAATAAGGTTGTTGAGGGCCCTCAGGATGGTGATAAGTTGGAACTTATACCAGACCCAGATAGATGTTCCAAGAAAATATTGCCTCTATCTGGTACTTTTTGATAATAACCAGTTCTGACCCATCATAAGGGCCTAGATCGCACAGACCTAATAGTATGTGATATTAAGGACTGGGATTAGCTGTATGAAATAGGATATCCAAAATTCCATTGGCTTAAGGTTCCAACATAATTTTAAAAATATGTTGCCGTATAAGAAATATGCAGGTAGGTAGCCTGAGGGCTGGTAGAGTGGCTCCAGTGATCCTCATAAATTCTGATTTCTTCCCATTTGCTGTTATATCATCTCTGAAGTATGGTCTTCATATTGACCAAGTAGCTGCTAGAATGCCAGCCAAGAGAAAGAAAATCACATTTTTTTTTTAAGCAAATTTATTTTCAAAATATGAGATACTTATCTCTCATTGGCCACCTCAGTTATAAAGTCATATCCATCTATGAGGGAGACCCATGAGCCGTTAAATTTAGAAAAAAGGAGAAGAGGCACTGGGTGGGCAACTAACAGTCTTTGCCATAGACTTCCTTTTAGATGTGAGAAAATTGGGTGTTGTCCTCCATATAATGTCTGTCTGTCTAAAGATGTTATTCCTCCTGTATTTGGGAACCTGCAGATTATGGATAGTTGCCCACTGTAAATATCAAGGACTTCATCATGGAATCTACACCTTTGATAATCAGTTTTGTAATGCATTTAGTTCAGTAAACCTTTTTGAAGACTTGCTAATTGTGAGCTAGGTTCTTCTCAGAAAATGAAAATGGGTAAGATTATCTCCCTTGTTTTGGTTTAGAGGATTATAGTTGTAAGAGAAGACATAAAAAGCTACAGTAGCTGTTTCTAAAGACTGTCTGCCTATGTTGAAAAGTTTGATTCAGGATCTGTTCTGGCCCATGATAGGCTATATAATTGGGGAGGGATTCACTTGTGTTTTTTAAATTTAGGGCTGAAAGAATCAGGATCCCTGAACCTTGGATCACACCTCCAGATCTGCAAGAGAAAATCCACATTTTTGCCCAAAAATGTCTATTCTTAACGGAGAGTCTGAAGCAATTCACAGGTAATGTGAGGAGAAGGGTCATGAGAGGAATTAATTTATACTATTATAATCTATGTATTGCCTAAAAGGTTATATTTTTCTCAGAAAACCAAATAGTGGGGCCTGGGTATATAGCTCAGTTGGTAGAGAGCTTGCCTCACATGAACAAGACCCTGGGTTCATCCCTATAACCACAAAAAAAAAAGAGAAAACCAAATAGTGGGATGCAAACTGAATATCTTCTCCTTTTCTCTCCTCAGAAAAAATGCAGTCAGATATGGAGAAAATCCAAGGTAAATTCACCTATTACATACTGGACAAGAGGAAGAGCATCTGAACTTATAATGTGGGAAAATAAGATGGTTGATCTCTAATATTTTACATCTTCCTTTTAGTCTTAAATTTTTCATTTAATAGCCTCTTGTTCTCATTTGAAGTCGGTTAACTATATCTAATCAGTTCTCAGTCTATATGGAAGAGAAAAATAGGCAACTTAAAATGTAATCCAGAATTAAATTGATTATTTTAAAAAAATTTTTAATTAGGAAAAAGAGTGAACATACACTATCCATTTCATATGAGCCAGTATTTATAATTGTAATTGACTGATTTCTTTTAGCTGTAGACACAGAGACCCACTAGGCCAGGAGGAATGAGCAGCACTGACTGAGATAACACCAAGGAAGTGATTTTTGAGCCAGCATTCAGGAATCAGACTGCTAAGGTTGTGGGCCCACCTATGTCACTTAATGTTTACAATGTTGCTGAGCATGGTAGTACTTGTCTATAATCTCAGGGACTTGGGAGACTAAAGCTAGAGGATCTCAAATTCTAGGCTAGCCTCTATGTGAGACCCTGTCTTAAATAAAAAAGACTGGGGATGTACTTCAATAATAGAGCACCTGAGTTCAATCCCTAGTATTCTAAATCTAAAATTTTCTGCCCATGAACCATTTTCACTTAGGAGTTGGCCAAATGCTGAATATTAAAATTTTTAGGCAGTCTGGTAGAGTCGGAAATTCTTACAAGTAGGTAGATTCTTATTTATTAAAAAGTACTAACCCCCATAATCTTTGATAATCTCATATCATGTATGCTGAATCCTTATTGCATTTTAGCTATATATTTATTTGGGGCCTCTAGCAATATAGATTTAGGAATGTCTTTCACAAGCAAGACAGCTAGGGAGAAACTCCATAATACAGTGGATGGTTTAGACATAGCTTTTCTTGATGTGGTTCTTATTAATGTCTGGTTCTTTTTCTACTTAAAAGGCTCAATAAGAACATATGTGAAAATGACTTTAAAATGCCATATAAGGGAATGGTCTTGTTTGCCCCACAGTAGTAGTCACTTGAGCCACTCAGCCCCTAGAGCACAGACGGCTTATGAAAGTAAGGAGTTGTGTATGACTTGGGATTTGAACTGTGTTTTGCTCTACAGAGCTAGCCAGCTTACTTCAGGTTGGAATTCTTGCTTGGTTCAATTTGATTTCATATTCTACCAGTCTTAGGCATGTTGTTTTCCTTCTACCAAAGATTCTCAATCCCCCTTCTCTTAACGTCTTTAGCTAGATGATGAAGTCATACATTGTATGAGGAAATCTGCATGGCTGACAACAGGATTTCTGAGATTTTTAGTGGAGTGCACTAACCAAAGATCTTTTGAGTTAGGTATTCCTTGGAAATACTCAAATGGCTTTCATAACAACTTCTCTGTTTGTTTTTTCAGAATTGCGAGAGGCTCAGTTATATTCAGGTAGGTGATACATACAGGAGAAAGGAATAAAAATTCAGTGAACCTAACTACTATTGTGAATGATTTGTTGGAGAATTAACGTAATTTGGATTCTTTAGGTTACATATGTAAACATGGCATATAACAACAATCCACTATATTTCTGTGTGATTACAGTTATCTTTGCAACCTGAGGTGCTTCAGAGCTAAAACCATTGGTGGTGGTGGTGGGATGGGCTCAATTTCAGGTGATAAGAAGGATCATAGAGTGTCAACTGCAGTTCCCCAAACTAGAACACTTCTGTGCATCTACTATAATGCACTGCTCTGCCTCCCAGCCTCAGGGGCAACATGCTGTTTGCAATAAGCAGGAGTGATTGAGCTCAGCTGTTAACTCTAGTGCTAGAGACAGTCTAGGAATCTTGGTCATTCCATCACTACTTATTTTTTTTATTTTTTATTTTTTTAATATTTATTTTTTAGTTGGACACAGTATCTTTATTTATTTATTTATTTTTATGTGGTGCTAAGGATCGAACCTGGGGCCTCGCATGTGCTAGGTGAGCGCTCTACTGCTGAGCCACAACCCCAGCCCTCCATCACTACTTATGGGAAAAGATTGAAACTTCCCTTCCCCTTGACAATCACCTTTATCCTATAATTCAGAGAAGCTGAATGGAATCTTCTTCATGAAGAGAAGGGTTCTACATATAAAAAGATCTTTGGTGCTGCACTGATTGTGAGCCATATTTGGTTCTTTAAATAAGTATTAACTGAATCCTTTGCTTTTATACCATACAGTTTAACATTGTGTACTTTAAAGGAAACAAAAGAGTGTAAGACACTAACTGCCCTGTTCTTGTAGTTTACATTGTCTGGTTGAAGATATGAGGTATACTCATGACATAAGAAAGAGGTAGGCCCAAGACTGGGTATATAGCTCAGTGGTAGAGCAGGTAGCTGGGTGAGGCCTTGGGTTAAATACTTAGCACCAAAAAGGGAAGGACGGGTGGATATTGTATATTGTGAACAGATTGAAGAACCAAGGGTTCTGGTCACTCTACTGGTATCCTGTCATGAACCTTTGTTGGGAGTCACTTAGTCTGACTGTGTTTTGATTTCTGAGAGGTAATGTTTGGGAATCCTTCTCATAAACAAGATGTGAAGAGCAAATGAGAGACTACATCAGTGCTTTTGAAGCAAGAAGGTACCATATGGTGCAAGAGGCAGTAGTGCTAAATAACAGAAGAGATGACATGAATTATACAGTTTTAAATTTAAAAGCAAGAAGAGTACTGGTGTGGGCTGGTTAAGAAAAACTGGGGAGCTAGGAACAATAGCACATGCTTGTAATCCCAGCCTCTCAGATGAGGCTAAGGCAGGAGGATCAAAAATTCCAGGCCAGGCTGGGCAACTTAAGAACCTGTCTTAAAAAAATTAAAAATGCTGGGAATGTAGCTCAGTGATCGAGACCCTGGTTCAATTCCCAGTACCATAAATAAATAAGTAAATAAGAAAAACTGAGGAAGATAAGGGCCTTAGAAGAAAATAGAATGAATGATTCAGATGTACAGGGTTAAGCCCTAATGGAATGAATAAGAGTGAATGGGAAGGTAGGCAAATTGGTCCAGATTCCTCAGTTCCTTACCAACAGTTCCAAATTCTTTGAAAGCCAAAGTTTTGTTACCCCCCCCTATATTGTTTTGCAGCCAATTAATTAAGGTACCAAAACCTGAATTTATGTGAGACTCTTTAGAGCTTTTATCCTATATCATGTGAACATTTGATGTTTCACAGCAGATATGTTAATATTTGATTATAGGGTGCGTGCGAGACCTTAACTGTTGTAATCTCAATTCTTTGGAACTTTTGACCCCTATAGCTTTCAAATTAAGTGATTGTGAAAATATAAAAAAAAGTCAAATTTGGTAAATAATGGATGTTGTGGCTTAGGATGTAAAAGAAAGGGAAGGGGGCAGAGTGCAGTGGCACATGCCTGTAATCCCAGTGACTTAGGAGGCTGAGGCAGGAGGATTGCTAGTTCAAAGCCAACCTCAGTATAAAAGCAAGGTGCTAAGCAACTCAGTGAGACTCTGTCTCTAAATAAAATACAAAGTAGGCCTGGGAATGTGGCTCAGTAGTTGAGTACCCCTGAGTTCTTTTCCTAGTACCAAAAAAAAAAAAAAAAAAAGTGGGAATGGAGGTAAAATTTTAGTATTTCACTATATCATCATTATAGAAGGCAACCACCTAATCCAACAGTAGTTTTTTGAAATGTGAATTTTAAGATGTATTTCATAAGATAAATGTATCCTCTTAGTACGGAGCTCTTATTCTATACCCAGGGAGATAGAAGAAAGGCTAGGGGTTCTTGAGTGGGCTCTCCTGGACTTCAGGCTGACTCTCCCCTTTGTGTTTCTGCAGTGGACGTGACTCTGGATCCAGATACAGCTTACCCCAGCCTGATCCTTTCTGATAATCTGCGGCAAGTGCGATATAGTTACCTCCAACAGGATTTGCCTGACAACCCTGAGCGGTTCAATCTTTTTCCCTGTGTCTTGGGCTCTCCATGTTTCATCGCTGGGAGACATTATTGGGAGGTAGAGGTGGGAGATAAAGCCAAGTGGACCATAGGTGTCTGTGAAGACTCTGTATGCAGAAAAGGTGGAGTAACCTCAGCCCCCCAGAATGGATTCTGGGCAGTGTCATTGTGGTATGGGAAAGAATACTGGGCACTTACGTCCCCAATGACTGCCCTTCCCCTGCGGACCCCTCTCCAGCGGGTAGGAATTTTCTTGGACTATGATGCTGGTGAGGTCTCCTTCTACAATGTGACAGAGAGGTGTCACACCTTTACTTTCTCTCATGCTACCTTCTGTGGGCCTGTCCGGCCCTACTTCAGTCTGAGTTACTCGGGAGGGAAGAGCGCAGCTCCTCTGATCATCTGCCCCATGAGTGGGATCGATGGGTTTTCTGGCCATGTTGGGAGTCATGGTCATTCCATGGAGACATCCCCTTGAAGTAGTGAACGCAGACTAAAAGGGCTGTTGGCTATAATTGTACCCCAGGCACAAGGCATCTTGTTGCCTTGCCGATTCCTGTCTGTCACAGCTGGGTACCATTTTCCATGCCCTTGCAGAGGCAGACAGGATGTCCATGTTCTCTACTATCCTTTTCCTTCCCCTGCAAATTGTGAGATGTAACAAGAAGTATCAATATTTCCCAAAAATAAAAACCAGGTGTCCTCCTTCAGTGTTTCACATTTTTTGGTTTTACATAGAAACCAGATAAACAGCAAATTAATCTTTGGATTTGGAGAGCCACTCAAGTTACTTAAACCATCTTGGCTTAGCCTGGCTTCCTCTGGCTCAGCCCACATAATAATCATGGGAATTTACTGCCATTTCTTGACTAGGGATCCTTTCTGAGAACCTAGAATGGAACTGCAAGGCCCTGTTAGCATGGCTTCCTTTACTCCAATTTTTTCTTGGAAAAGTACGTCTACCCTTGATTTTCAGTCTGCCAGTTTTTTACTAACAAGGGTCTGTATGTGTTCGGGTTAGTTACAGTATTTTACAATAATGGTGAAAAATGGTCCCACCTCTACCATGAGAGGATATTCTAATCAGTGTTTCTGCCTCTAAATCTTTTCTGGGGCTTTATTTGTTCCCTTCATACTAATGACAAGTGTCTCCTAGTGCTGGGTGCACATCATTTTAGGTCACCATCTACTATTTCTAGATCCTCTCCCAGGCACATCTATGGACTGGTGGTCAGTTAAACACTATCTCTGGAAGAATTCTAGTATTCCAGAAATTTGTTGCCTTTTTACCTCCTTCTTCTATCTCCTCTGGGGGATGGGGAAATTCACCTTCATAATGTGTGTATCATCAAGGGGCAACTCCATCCCAAATGGCCACTGGATCTTGAGACATTCTGGAATCAGAAGGCTAAAGCAGGTTACTTTGAGCAAGCCCCATGGTGGTTCTTGGTCTTACTTCTCTTTGGGAATATGCTCCTCTGTTTAAAAAATAAAGTAAATATGGATGTTGACATTGCTGTTGTGTTGTGGGTCTTGGTCAGATTGGGTTCACACATGGAGCAAGTAGGGTGTCAACTTCCACTATGGTTTCAGAATCCTGTTCTGGCCAATGTTTTTCTTACATCTGGGTGATAAAACTAGTTTCTTAGTGCCCTGACACTGACTCTAATGGTGCTGAGAAAGTAATGTTAGGGCCAGGCACTGTGGTGCATGGCCATAATCCCAGCAGCTTGGGAAGCTGAGAAGTTCAAAGCCAGCCTCAGCAATTTAGTAAAGCCCTGAACAACTCACTGAGACCCTGTCTCAAAATAAAATATAATGAAAGGGCTGGGGATGTGGTTTAGTGGTTGAGCCCCTCTATGTTCAATCCCCTGTACCAAAAAAGAAAAAAAAAAGTAATATTGGATATTACTGGCTTGGAATATGTCAGAAGGCCCAGATTTTGCTTCCTAACAGAACCACCATCCCAAACCCTTGGGGTACCTGGTCACCATGTACTGAGGAAGAAATATGAGGCAGCGAGGCTCTATTTCCAGGAATTTGATCTTTTCTACTTCTGAACATGGCTTCTGAAGACAAGATTCTGTTAGCTATATATCCTTTCATTGATGTTTGATTGCTATCATGAGTTGTTGATAATGTATCATTTATTTATTCATCAGGCTTTATGAGAAATAATTCAGAGATTACAGAAAAGGGATTCCATGAGGCTAGATCAGCTTTTACCATTTAATTCTGAGATATAAATGCATAGAATAACAGATACATGCATATAAATTATGACTCACAGAGCAATGCTTGGAACATAGTGTGAAGAGTAACAGACTTAACACAACAACCTCATGAAGTGTGTATTGTTGCCCTTATTTTACAGATAAAGAAACCGAAACAGGGTAAATGACTTACTCTAGGTGTATAGCTAGGAAGCAGCAGAGCCAGGATTCAAACTGATATGGAACACATGACCACATACTTCAGATTCTTACACATAGTATATATATACATAGATTATGCTTTTTACATGGGAAAGGCAGAGCAGAGACTGGACACCTTGACGTGCCAGTTCATCAATCTGAGATGCCTGCCTATGACTATTTACTGTAGACTTCAGGTTCTGTAACTGGAAAATGGAGTCAAGACTTTCATTCAAAAAATCACATTCCACTTTCACTTAGTCCCTTGGAGCAGGAAGGAAGAATAAAGATAACTTGTATGCTTTCAAGGAAATATGCCCTTGAAATGGACTCCTGGTTTTTACTGTCCCAGTGATGAGGCTATGGACATATCTATAAGGGTAAATCTTAATGCTGGGTGAAAAAAGTCTTCAAAGACTATATACTTATGATACCCTTCTTAAATGAACAAAAAAATCATGTGGGGAAGGGAGGAAAAGAAGAGGATATTGGTTGATAATGTGTTATTAGCTTCTAATTTGGGGGTGTGTGTTTATAGGTATTTAAGTTTTGTTTTTAAATGCTAGTTTGGGGATAAATAAACTTGTAAATAATTCTAATTTTACTCATCTGCAGAAAAATAAGAAACCTTTGAATTAATTGAGTGAGGATATGGGCCACTAAAGACAAACATGGGACTCAGTAGGATTCTTCTGGCTCTTCTTTATTTCTTTCTTTGGAACATCTAAATTTTTTAATTGGGGTTACAACAACAACTTTTTACTAATGGAGGAGAATTTTGTATGTGTGTGTTTATATGCATGTGCACACACACTTGGGTCTTGAGCTGCTCTTATTTTTCCTGGTATAGCCCAGAATGCAGAGAGGAGCACCTTTCCCAAGAGCGGATGAGGCCTAGAAGAGATGTTCAGAAACTAAGGAACCTGAGTATGCTTCCTATCCTCTACCATGTACATTTTAGAGAAGATGAGAGATTATGTCAAAATTGCCTACCACTTAAAGGCACACTATGAAATTAAGAGCAAATTGCTGTCAGATGGTAAATGAAAGTCATTTGTTACTGTTATCTATTAACATTTATTATGGTCATTGATTGTCTCTAACAAAGGGTATATGAAGGAGAAAATCACATCTCCCAGAAAAATAAAACAAAGCTCAAAAGGTTCAACAAATGGAAGACAATGATCCTTTGATTCAAATACACAATAAACCAGTGTTGGGTATCCTAGTTGAACCTGACTATGGGGGAGAATACAAGATAACATGGCTTCTGTCCTTGGAAAAATAAAAGTCAATAAGGAAAAATAACAAAAAGAAGTAAACAAAAGATTATCTCAGGACCCTGTGTACCACAGTAATCTTAAGAGGAAGCTGAAATGCTAGGTCTACGTTTCTTAGTACCTTAGTCCCACCCCAAATTCCAAATCCTGCACTATGTTAGGGATTGAACTCGGGTCCTTGAATCTGCAAAGCAAGCAGTGTACCACTATGGGTTCCTTAGTACTCTTTTTTTTCTTGAGGGTGAGGACCTGATGCCCACTAGCTTGGTCCAGCAATAAATATTAACTATGCAATTAATTTACTGAGTTAATATCCTGAACCTTGTTTATCCCAGAAATTCCTGCTATGAGGTCTCCACAAAGAATAATGAGAAAGCCCCAAACCAAACCAGAGTTGGTGGGATTTTTATAAGGGAATTAATTGGATCTGCCAAGTAAGTATTTTAAATATTAAGACATGCAAACAATACTTGTATTTGACAGTATTGCCCCAGTTATATTTCCTTTTTTTTGTGTTGAAGAAGTGTAAATTAAACATACCTGGCTCAGTTGTTGCCTTAATTTTGCATTTGACCATTTGAAATGTAAGCAGAGCATGTTAAGATAACCCTTTTGGTTACACTCATGTCTCTACCAGATTCTTCATTCAAAGCGCATATAGAATTTGGATTTTTATGGGCTGTGATGCCAAACCCAGTTCAGTTTGTGGTACGAAAGAATGTAATAGAAAAAGTGAAGAGAATGAATTTTAGTCTAGAAAGATTTCACATTTTTAACCTAAATATTATTATTTTTTCATATTTTTGGTACTGGGGATTGAACCCAGGGTTTTTTAACCACTGATTATTACCCCCTACCACACCTTTTTAAATTTTTTTTTTTTTTTTTATCTTGAGACAGTGTCTTGCTAAATTGCTTAGGGCCTTGCCAAGTTGCTGAGGCTAGCTCCAAACTTGAAATCCTCCTGCCTCAGCCTCCCAAGTCACTAGGACAACATATTTTTTTAATAATATGCCAAAACAACTTGCATAGATGCTTTTGATAAGATAATACATCATTTCTTTTTTCCCTCTGCAGTTTTGAAATGCTGGGAATTGAACCTGGTGCTTCTAGATGCAAACAAGTGTTCTACCGTCCACAACTGTTTTACTTCTGTATTGAACCTTTCCTGATAGAGACCTTTTAAGTATACACAAAAATGGGGAAAATGTATAATGAAACCACCATCCTATCTCCCAACTTCAACTATCAATTTATGATCAATAATATAACCTCATCTCAATTTTGATACTCTCTCCCTCCCCAATTCTAAAGTGAATCCTGGTGACTAGGGATATAGTGCAGTTGGTAAAGTTCTTTCCCCACACGCACAGGTTCAATCCCCAGCACCACAAAAAAAAAAAGAAAAAAAAAGAGAAGAGAAGAGAAAAAGTGAATCCTAGACAAGATATCAGAAAGCAAGATAATTTTATGAATTTCATATAAGACACTCCAGGGACTAGGAGTATAGCTCAGTGGTAGAGTGTTAAACACATGCATGAGGCCCTAGGTTCAATCCCCTTACTATATGTGTTTTTTTGTTTTGTTTTTATGTAGACCACCACTTTCAGCTTGTTTCCTTTTTAGTCTCCACCACCATCTTTAAATAATTTGTTAGGCCTTTAAATTTCCTCTTGTAGAAGACATTTTCATAAAATTATAGGATGGCCTCTGGGGGAGTCCTACTGTATAATAAATATTATTTATTAGTCAATAGTAAAAACAATTACATATTTTATTATATCTCATCTTATTCCAAAGAAGATGTAAAGCCATTTACAGCAAAATCAAGAGAGCCACAGCCTAACATGCCATAAAGGAAGAAAGACTCAGGGTGGCACCAAATTAAAAAAAAAAAAAAAAATACTACGAACAAAAGTAAATGCACAGCTTAACATTCCAAGGAAGCTAAATGTAGGCCACAATTTGGTTTTAAAGATGGACCCTGTTTTATTTTATAGCTCATAATTTCCATGAGATAGAAATAAACTAAATGTTCAAAGGAACTTAAAGAAATTCTTGTTAGTATATATGAGGGGAATTTCTCCTTATGTTCTTGGTAAGTAGAAACTATGTCACAGAGTTTATTTTTCATAAAGTGAGTTATGAGCCAGTAAGAAAAGGTGAACACCTCAATAAAAATTTGATAAGCAGTTTACTGAGGAAGTATAAAAATCCTTTCAACCTGAATGTTGAACTTAATAATCTGTAAAATATGTATTATCATTTTTAACCTATTAAAATATTCTGTTGTTTGATCCTAGTTATCTTTTGTTGGTCAGGCTTGAGGTGTTTAAACTGCCTCTTTTTTTTTTTTAATTATTTTACACCCTTATTTTATCCCAGGGCCTCACATGTGCTAGGCAAGCGCTCTACCACTGAGTCACAACCCCTCTCCAACATTTTTTTTTTTAAAGCAGGTAGTTGAACGGCATGTATTAAAAGTTTTCAAAATTGGATAATCATTGATCTAGTGATTCCTCTTATAAAAATTTGAGGAAATAATTATGGATGCTTGAAAATATTTACACAAAATTGTTCTTTCCAGTATTTCTCATGAGAATAAAAAATTAGAAAAAAATCCAGTGTTTGATAATATATTTGATATAATATCTGCAGTTATGAAAATTTGTGCAAAAGAATACTTCTTAAAAAGTATATATGTAATATGTTAATTTGAAGAGTAAATTAGCCAAGTATATATTAAACATGACTTTTTGAGAACTGTATGACATGATAGGACTAAATTCTAACAAGTGAAGAAGTTATGGATAATTTTTATTTTTTTACTTATTTGTATCTTATACAATTGTGTACTTTGCAACTAAAAAAAACATTAATTAAAAGTAATTAATGGTGTGGTCGTGTCAGAAATCACTTGTGGTACAGTTTCCTTCCAGTAGAGCTGTAGACGATCAAAGAAAATATAGCAAATCTCATATCTGGAAGGGAGATTGAGAAACCAGTGTTGAGTGTATATCTCACTCCCCATTTTTAAATTATCAAAAGTACAATATGAAAGCGAGGAATCTATGGAAAGCCAAGATAGGACCTACTGAAACTTTTCTTCAAGCAAAAAAAAAAAAAAAAAAAGAAAGAAAGAGAGAGACCTTTGCCTTACAAAAAGAAAAGGAAACCCTTTTTGTGTGTGTTCAAAACAATACCTATAAGGACAAAATCTAATTAAAATATATTTCTACTTTCTAAATATAGCTTAAAAAAAGCTGTTAAAACAGTTGAGTTTATTGAGCTCTTACCACGACATTTGTTGGCACTGCCTGGGCAACATTTGTTTTACGAACGTTATTTAATATAATTTATTTGGAACGAACGTTATTTTAGCAGTCTCTTGCTGTAGTTGGGAGAATAATTTCTTACTGTTTGGTCTCAGGGGCCTATTAAGAAATGCGACCTCGGGCCTTCCAAGTCCAGAGCCCGACTGATTACTTGGTGGAAAACTGAAGAACAGCTGAAAAATTGGTCTGGCAATGTGGCACATTCCTGTTGAAAACTACCACTAAGTATCCCGACCTGGCAATGGACACCTTGGAGACTTAATTGGGAATACCTGAGAGAGACTGCAGGCGGGGTAGGGAAGGGGTGAGGTCAGCGAAAGTGTAATTGCAGGAGTTTCTTGTGATCTAGACGCCTAGTTGCTGAGGCCCCAGTATCGGCGGGAGCCATGGCAACCTACGGGCTCTGTCTTCCCACTGTGCCCCGGCTATCGTTTTCCGGGCCCAAGAGAAACTTTTCAACAAATGGCAAGGCAGTTCTGGAGACAAAATAAGCCGAAATACAGGGATAAGAAGCAGCTGTACCATAAAACCGGTGTCTATTTTTCAGGGCTTTGTATTTTTATTCCTTGTCCATGTTCATAGAAAAGAAACCCATGCACAAGGCCCTGGGTTCAATCCCCAGCACCACAAAAAAAAAAAAAAAAAAAAAAAAAACAGAAAAAGAAAGAGAGAAAGAAAAAGAAGGAAACCCAAGAGGAAGCCTGACTTCTGACTTTAAGCAGGAATTCAAGGAAGATTGGAGGTCGGAAAGCCAACTGAGGGACCTAGGCAAAAGATGTTCTTTCCTTCCTTCCTGAAATCTGGGCCTGCTGGGGAAAGGAAATGTTTGCAGGTCCTTCTCAAGATGGAGAAGACAGTTGTAAAAGCATTAGACTTTCATTTTCAAAAGAAATTTGTATCCAATTTTATTCATAAATTTTGTTTTCCCCCGCCTGCAAACTCTTTTTCACTTTCAATCTACAGGTGGCAGTCTTCTCTAACAGTTCTCAAAATATACTGACATCATTTTCTTTGTATGTCACAGAAACGTTGATTGCTCCTAGCTCTACTTTACTAGAAAATCTCTCCCATACCGCAGGGTGTCAGGATGGCCGAGTGGTCTAAGGCGCCAGACTCAAGCTCCGCTTCCCCGCGTTGGGGTTTCTGGTCTCCGAATGGAGGCGTGGGTTCGAATCCCACTTCTGACACATCTGTTTTTTTTTCTTCCCCTTTAAAAAAAACACATTGTTTTTAACAGTACTTATAAATGATTACCAAACTACTTTTTAAATTTTCACTTTTAGAATTTTCTCACAAACTATCAACATTGGAAAAAAAAAATCGCAGCGGAAGCATCGCGGTATTTTCAAGAAACCGCGAGATTTGAGGCATAGACGCTTAATAAAGGATGGGATACAAGAAAATGGCTTGTCTGCTGGATCGCGAGATGATCTGAAAGTCACGGAATTTGGGACCCCGGTTGCTACCTGTCCTGCGATACTGGAGGAGAAAAGAGTTTACAATCAGGTACATCCTCTGTGTCGCAGACCCAAGTATTCCCCTGGATGCTTCCTGTAGCACTTTTCTAACAATTAACTTCACAACTCTGGCTGATGACATTGCTGTCTCTGAAGAAATCGTAAAACGGATCCTTTGCTCTCTTCACTATCAAAAGTCATAGAACTAGTTCTCAAACATTTCCCTTGTAAAATGCTCATTCACACTTAGCTTGGCGTCTGATCATTATTGTCTCGTCAAAATTGAACACTCTTTTAACTCCTGAATAAAATATGAAAGGTATACTTTCTCTCCCAAATATAACCACCGTCAATTGCATTTTTAGTTTTATCTATGCATTACATATATATTCATAAATATTTCATTTTTAATAGATATGAAATCATACTATACTGTTCTGAAATATTTTTCATTTACTGACTTTTTGGACTTTTTCCACTTGAAGCACTTCTTTTTCCTCACAAAGGAAATATTGAAAATCGTTCCATAAGATAGTTATAACCTACTTTGTTTAACCACTTCTTTTTTTTTTTTCCAACGGAACATTTAGGGTTATTTGAACTTATCATTCATCCAATCAATAGTTAATGAATGTTCATTATGTGCCAGAGGATACAGATCAGAGGGTATGACAGTAAAATATAAAAAAATAAGGTTACAAAAATGAAATTTTCTGGCATTGTGGAGCTTTTATTGTAGTTAAATAACTTTGGCTCTGCTTCAGGAATACCACATTCCAAGACTTATCTCTCAGAAGAATGAGTCATAGACCTTCAAAGTAAACATCTAATGCCAGCTATTAAAGATTTATATATGCACAATCATACAGTTCTCTTTCAATATGACCACTCATAACAGCATTGTATTAATTTATTATTGATTTTATCCTCATAATAAAAACGTGATAAAAATGGGCAAGAGAAATGAAAGCTGGTTTATCTAATAATAGGATTCTCAGGAGATAGTCATCATGGACAAGATCTAGCCATTTGGGAGGCAATGTCTGAACTCAGGTGGCTGGAACCAAATGGTTTCAAGTAGTGCTAAGCAGTTCTAGATCCTTGCAGCACTTAAATTCATTATGTGAGATATGAAATGGATTACAAAGCTGAGAGTGTAGCTCAGTGGTAGACCATTTGCTTAGCTAGCACGAGGTCCTGGTTTATTTTCCAACAGAGAAAGGAAGGAAGAAATCTAACGTAAAAGTTTACACAGGGGAAATAAAATGAATTCTTGTATGATTTCTACTATTATTATTAAATATATAAAAGAATAAGGCATGATATAACAAATTCATGTGTGTCACTGCCTTAATAGACATCCCCACTTTCCCCACCCCGGGGGAGCAGACAAGTATATCTTCAAAGACTTTGGAAGAATGTGTATTTCCTTTTGGAGAACTGGAGATGAGTTAGAAAACAGAAGATAGTATTGGGTTGGGGTGGGGGTGGAGATAGCAGTGTTTTGCCTGGAAATTTCTAGAGGAAAAGAAAAAAAAGGATTGTGACATAAATGACTTTTTATATGACTGCCGCAGTAGTTTGGTGTTGGTGTTGGGGGGCGGGGTATTTTTGGCAATGCTGTGGACCAAACTCTAGGTCTTGTGGAAGCATTCCACCACTGAGCTACATTTCCAGCACTGTATTTTAAAGACTAATTTTAGGGAAGGAAGGAAGGAAGGAAGGAAGAGAGGGAGGGAGGAATTATAAAAGTTTACAAAACTGTGAAGAATTCCTGGGAAGATAATTCAAAACTTCATTCCACTCCTTCTTTGCTCTTTCCTGCAGGCAGAGGAATTATTAATCTTATTAAAATTTTTTACTTTCTTAGACCAACATTTTTTCTTAATGTTCAGCTGTGCTGTGATCTCCCTCAGTCCTTTGTGTTGGTGTTTTATAGAACATGCCCGACTGAGTCTTTCCAACTTGCCTCAAAGAGTGTGTCTATTGGGCCCCAGGGCCTAGACAAAGGGGAAAGGAGTAGGAAAGCGCATTCTAGCTTCAGACCCAAATCATGGTCTTTGAAGCTATACTTATGAGCCAGAGAAAGTTGATGTCTTGTTTCTGCCACTGCTGTATATGCCTCAATTGTTTCCAAATTGTTAAAAATA